GTCTTCACACAGCTCCACATTGCCTGCCCCACTGTGCCTCAGAGGTCCTGTTTGTGCCACAGTCTGTATGCTGCTGCTGAGCTGATGGGGGTGGCTGAATCCTGGCTTCTCTCTATTCTTGCATGGGACCTTGGTCTGGGACAGAGAGCTCATTCCCTTGTTTCTGCTTCTATCTCCTGGGGTCTCTGACCTCAGCCTCATTTCTGTCTCTTCCTTGCCATCTGCTTCTCCTTGCTCCTTGGGCTTTGTGAACTACTGAGACTCAAACAGCCCTTCCCGGATATGCAACACCTAACGGAATCAGGTCTCCAAAAACACCCTGGGCGATCATGCCCCACTTAGGTGTCCTATCTTCTATCTTCTTGTGCAGTGACCCTTGAGGACCTGGCTTTTTCCCTTGCTGTCACTTGACAGTCCAGGGCCAAGATCCTGCTGGTTTTGTGCCCTGTTTGCCAGAGACTGCACTGGCTTTAATCCCCCTGGTGTGCCTCTGGTCTGAGCACCCATGAGCTCCTGGATGGAGGCGTTTCCTTTGGGCTTCTTTGTTCATTGCCTGATCTGATTGCCCCTTCACCTCTTCGCTAGAGGGTTTCTTAAGGGATCCAGGCTCAGCTGTAATCTTCCAGGTCTCTACTAAAAGCACCAACTGGGACCAGCATCCAAGTGACCTTCCTCCGACTTATCAGTGGGCCAAGGATATATGATGGCAGAGAAGACCATGCTGCTCAGTTCTTAATGTGCTTGTGTTTTCTCTGCCAAGGATGAAGCCGAACAAAGATAATTAACTAAAAGTTGATCTCCAAGTTAAGGGAGGAGCCAGTGAGAGAGCACCCAGATGAATTCAAGTCACCTGATCCACATGAACTGACGATATATGTGATTGTTGACTCATTGCCGGACCATCACGGAGAATGGGAGAGGCACCATGAGTCTGGAAAAGGCTAAATGTCTAATTTTCTGAAAGGAAGAGAGAGAACAGAGCCTGCAAACCAGAGGCCAGTGGGCTTGACTGGGATTCCTGGAAGAACTCTAGGACAGAACTTTAAAAGGGTGGTTGGTGACAAGGAAGCAGCGACTACAAAGAGCCCATGTGGATGACTTCATTAAAAGTAGATCAAGCCACTAGGATTTCCTTTTCTCACCAGTTGTCAAGGGGAACTGTAGAATTAACCCAGATTTTAGCCAAACTTTGAAGAAATGATCTCATGCCATTCTTATGGAGAGGATAGAGAGAAAAGGTAGATGATAATAAAATCGAATGGATTGAAAACTGGCTGGGTGGTTGAACTCAAAGAGGAGCTCATCGTTCAATGCCATCATGGCATGAGGTCTACAGTGGAGGATCTCAGTGAACTGTGCTTGGCCCTGAGCTGCTTTACATCATGATTAGTGACTCAGATAATCGCAGAGATGAAATACTCATCGAGTCTGACGATGATACCAAGTTAGGCAGGTGGGGCCTGGCTTGCAGAGTAGCCAGGTTGGCCAGTGCACTGGGCTGAGCCAATGAGATGAGATTAAAGGGATGAGACCACTTATCCCAAGCATGCCACTTGGGCACAAAACCCCGAAATCCATCAGAACAAGATGGAGGAGTCATGGATAGGCATTAGGTGTTTTGATAGGATATGGGGGTCTGAGCTGACCATGTAAGTCAGCTCCATATAAGTTAGCAGAGTGATTTGGTAGCCAAGAATTGAATGTAATCTTGAGTTGCCTTAAGATGGCCAGAGCTTCCAGGGATAGGGAAGTGATTGTCCACTGTGCTCGCCCTAGGTCAGACCTCGTCTAGACTACTGGGTTCATTTCTAGGCACAAAGGATTAGGAAGGACATTGATAACCTGGAGGGCAACCTATCGAGTCCATTCATGACATAAAAGTATTAATTGGAGGAACTGGGAGCATTTAAATTGGGGAAGAGAATGCCCAGAGGCAAATGAGAACTGTCTTCAAGTATCTAAAGGGCTGTGCGGTGGAGGAGGGATTAGTTTGGCCCCAGATAACAGAGCCTGGAGCAGGGAGAGTGGAGGGGTGTGTGCGCCGAGTGAGAGGCAGATCTAGATTCAGTGTCAGGAGAAGCTTCCTGGCCATGACAGCTGTTCCAAAAAGGAATGTGCTGCCTCCAGAGGTGGTGGGTTTTCTCTCCTTGAGCTCCCAAGCAGAAACTGGATGACCTTCTGTCTAGTATCTTATAGTGGGGATTCCTTTGTGAAGGGATGAGACTAGATGATGTTGGGGTCCCTTCCAACTCCAAATTCTGTGATTCTGTGAATATTCTTAAGTTGTGGCACTCAGGACTGAATGGTTCTCTGCATGGGGCCATCACCTCCTCAGCTCTGGAAGCTGTGCCTCTCAATGCAGCCCATCTCACAGCTTCAGGTCTGCCTCATGTCCACTCCATTGAAGAGATAGCAGCTTCCTGTCTTGTCTCGTCTTCATGCTTTTGACCCTGTTAAGTCACTGAGTTTGCTGTCTGAAGAAGACTTTTCCATTTCCAGAGGATGGAGGCACTCCAGAAGAGTATGCTAGAGAGGCTAGACCCAGGGGCTGGCCTTGGACACCAGGCTCTGAGCCCCCAAGAGGCATGAGTTGTAGCAAGCAGTAGCCTGGGGGTGGAGTGGGGAAGTCCATCTCTGACACCACCTTCCTGACACCAGGCCCTTCACCTCCTGAAATTTCCTCTTTTATAAAATACGCTATGTATCTCTGTGCCTCCTCCCTCCCATGGTTGTTATAAGGTTCCAGTGGGCTACATAAATACCACCCCTTATCATTGACTAACTAGTGACTATGCTTTAGGCAAAATGAATAAGGCAGAGAAGCAAGTTGGGGTAGAGAGAGGACCTCCCGGGCCAGAGCCATTGAGCTTGCTAAAGTCCTTACAAGATAACCAAAAGGCAAAGGGAAGAGTCTTGGAGGTCACATAGGGCAGGACCTTCTTCCTCTAGAGTCTAGGAGCTCAGGGCTCATAGAGAATTTATGGTGCACGTACTAGTCACAGAGCAGAGGGCAGTACAGGCCAGGACCATGGACAAGAGCCTGGGGCCCCACAGGAGAGAAGAGCAAGTTACTTCTGAGAAAAGGGCTGGGCATTGAGGCTAAGGAATTAAGTACTGGTTTGACCCCTTCACCTAAGACAGGGCCCAAAAGAGGACAGGGCACAAGGATGATGTGTCCCAAGAGTAGCCAAACCAAATGGTGGCCAGATGTTAGTGGGCCAGGATAGGGCTGTGCACTTCCCAAGCTCACTGCTATTTTTCTTCTTTTTGGAATCACAGCCTCTACACACTGGAAGGGACCTCTTTATCTTGTGCCTGACCAAGCATTATCTTGACAACAACTCAGTATCTGGTCATTCAGTGACCATCCAACGGTCACCCTTGGGCTTGGGGATCTCCAGGCATTGGAAAGCTATAGCTTCCCGAAGCAGCTCACTCATCATAAGAAAAAAATATATTTCTGACATCAAGGCTAACCTCTTTGCATCTTTCCACATTGCTATGGGCTCTGCCCACTGGGGCCAAATCAAACAGTCTATTCCCTTTCCCACTGTCCCAAATATGAAAAGACAACTCTCATTCCCCCCTCCTCCAATCTTCTCTTCCACAGGTTCAGAATCCTTCATTCTTTCAACAGATACTCATATGACCTGGATACCAGGACCTTCCCCATTCTGGTTGCTTCCTCGGGACACCCTCCTTTTCATCAATGTGCTTTCAAAACTGTGGTTCACCAATTGGATCGCGTGGAAGTCTGGAAGAGGTCTGACCAGGGCAGACTAGTGGGATGGGCATCTCCCTAGGCTTGATAATAGGCTCTTAATGCAGTCTAAGATTCCCTTGACTGCTATACCACACTGTTGAGTCAAATGGAGTTTATGGTCCCCTAAGGCCTTCAGATCTTTTTCCAATGAATTAGGGTCTAGCCATGTCTTCCCTACCTTGTACTTATGATATGGATTTTTTTTCTGAAACAGTTATGCTTCATTCTCTTTCTGGCTGTGCTTCTGACTCTCTGGACTTCCACACTTTCCCCTGTACAAGAAGTCTTAACCACCCCACCCCCCAAGCTTTCTAGCTACCTTTTAGATGTTGTCTCTGGTCATTAGAATGTAAGCTCCTTGAGGGCAGGGTCTGTCAGGCTTTTTTTTGCTTCTCCAGCAAAGATGCTTTTTTTGTCTCTCCAGCACTTAGCACAGTGCCTAGCACACTGTAGGTGCCCTTGCTAATGTAGACTTTTTCCCCTATTAAATTTCAATGTTCTAGCCTATCAATATCACTCGGAGTCCTGACTGCCTTCTATTTTTTTTCAGCTCTCCCTCCCAGGTTGGTGTCACCTGGATATTCCAAAATCGGGCCATTTCCACCTTTCTGTAAGTCAGTGAGGGAATGATTAAATAGCACTGGACCAAGCACAAAGCCCTTTGCCTCCCCCCCTCCCCTCCCCCCACCCCGATCTGCTTTCAAGATCACGTGGAAGCATCAGTGATGACTCTTTATGTGTGGTCTTCTAGCCAGTTCTGAACTTATTTAACTGTGCTATCACTCAGCCTATGTTCTTCCACAAACTTAGTCAAATGCCTGGCTAAAATATCCGTAAATTTCTCCAGCCACCCCTGACCTAATAGTTTAAGAATCTTGTTGAAAGTAAAATAGGCTGGTGTGGAATGTACTCCCTGAGGAGGCCATGTTAGCTTTTGGTAATCCCAACATTTCCCTAGATTTGCCAGTAAACATTCCTTTGGAAAACACTGGATTTGTTTCCTGTTGGCCAGGACCAAGGAGGGAAGCAATTGATTCCTGAAGGCCTGGAGTGTCGCTACCGGAGAGCTGCTTCTCCAATCTAGCAGTTTTTGGGATGGACAAGTGGGCAAGTGAAGGGGCTGGGGGAGGGAAGACCTCACAGGCAGAGGAGGGAAAAGAGAAGTCCCAGACCCTTCTGTGAGACCCAGACCTCTCCAGCATCCCCCTCCGCCCCTCAGCCTGAACCCTGGACTCACTCTTCTGACAAGAGGTCCTGTAAGAGTTTATTTCTGTCTCGGAAGCAGCCTAGAGAATGCATGCTGTCCAGTACATCAGGGTCGATGTCCTCCAGGGATGGAAGGGATCGAATCTGCACCTTTCGGGGGATGGGCTGCTCTGGCTCCGGCTCATTCTTGCCCCCTCTGTGGACAGACAGCAAAGTCCACTCACCAAGGGCTTTCCAGCACTTGAATTTCTCCCTCCCACAGAGTCAGCTGGGGAAAGGACAGGGAGGTGGGGAGAGGGGCCCTGACCTCTGAGCTTGACTGCCCTCAATGGGCTAGGATGGTGGATGTGAACCTAGGCAGGAGTGTTCTGGGCTCAGACTCAGGCCCTCCCCCATCCATGGGCACCCTGGAATCCTGGTTCCTAAAGTCATCCAGCCTGACTAGGTACTTCCTTCCTTTCCTGCCTCCCTCCCACTCCCACAATGTTCCAGGGCTTGCCACAGAAACTGTCCCACCCCAGGGGCTCAGCCCCAGGGTGGGAGGTGGGAGGAGGTCAGGTTGGTTGGACTGGAAAGCCAGCCCATGCCCCTGAAGCCCAGGGCAGAGCCCCAAGGCTCCCTTTCCCAGGGCCCCGAGGGCCCAGTTCCATGGCCAGGCTCCCTGGCAGCCTGACGCTTGCCCCAGCTGGACAGGTCCCTGCTCTCCTCCCACTCTTGCTAGCACACACATCCTCCAGGCCACAGCCACAGTCAAGGAAGGAGATTAGTGGGGTTTTGAAGCTACTTACATATACCATATGTGTTTCTGAATGTGTTCTAGCTACAAGGAAAGAAAACAGGGAGTTAGTATGGCAGGAGAAGTGGGGCTAGGTGGGGGCAGGAGGGAGGCTGCAGGTGGACTGAGGCCCTTACTGTGCTAATGGGAAGAGCTGGATGGGCTCTGAGAGACCTAGTCTAGTCTCTCACTGGAAAGAGGAGAAAGCTGAAGCCCAGAAGGGGAAGCAAGAGCAGGGGTGAGTCTGTTCATGGTGAAGCCAAACCCCCCAACCTGGATGGGCAGAATCTCTTGGCCTTCTTTCAAGATGCTACCCCTGGGAACAAGACCTGGGCCCAGAAGGGCTCGGTGGCCCAGGGAACTGAGGGGAGCCGGGGAACCTCCTTTCTGGCCCCATCCTGGAGACCCAAATACTGTCCCCTCACTGAGAGAAGGGAGGGGCCGGCTGGGCTGGCTGCTTAAAATGCAAGAGCGTAGGGGTTGGGGAGAGGCTGGGGTCCACAGTGACTCCTGGAGGGCACAGAAGGACCAGCAACCAGGACAGAGCCAAACTGGAACCAGGCCTTCTGAGCTACTCTCCTCGTGGGTGCCCTGAGACCTGGGGTCTAGACTTTGGTCCTCTGGGGAGCCTCAGCCTGGTCCCAAGGTTGGGGTCACACCAAGAGATTGAGAGAATTAAGCAATGTAACGTCGGCTGCTTGAGAGCAGGCATGATCTTATTCTTTATCCTGGTACCCCAGTGCTTAGCATGGTGCCAGGCACACAGAATGAGCTTAATTAATCCTCACTGATGGAGGGATAGATGGATGAATGGGTGGATGGATGGATGGGCGATGGATGGATAGATTGAGAGCTCCATCCATATGCAGGAGGCCCATTTTATTGATCCTGGAATGCAAAGTAACTGTCTCCCCCATTTCCCTCACCACTCCATATCAGGACTAAAGGGAACCCACCAGAGAATGTGTGCTGGTCAAAGGGGCCCATCGCTAGGCTTCAGTGCCAGGAAAGGGCCTTGCTGACCCTAAAGGAGGGACAGGAAGTACGCCATATTCCCACCCTGGCCCCTGGTCACAGAACAAACCTAAGGCTGGCTGGGTGGGATTGACTGCAGCCTGAGATGCAGAGAGGGATGTATCCCTGCTCAATGGACCCTGTGGATCATACTGGGGTGGGGGGGAATCCAAGACAGACCCCCCCCAATGACCAGCACTGGCCCTCACTCCTAGGCTAGACACTGAGCCTGAGCCCTAGAAACCCACAAAGGAGATAGGGGAGGCACCCTGGAGACTTAAACTGAACTAGATGCACCTATACTTGGTGGGTGCCTTCCTGCGTGCTTGGACAGGCTGCAGGAACTGTCCTTCTGATTCCTTCCCTCTTCTTCCCCCCACAAGGAGTGAGCTCAGCAGACAGAAAGACCATGCTCAGGAAAGTGACAGCCTCTCAGGTGGGTTAAGGGATAGGACAGGGCAGGGAGAAAGGAGCAGCTACAGGAAGGAAACTGAGGCCCAGGGACAGCAACCTCAGAGCAGAAAAGGCAGCTGACATGGAAGCCTCCTCTGACCTGGACTCTGAGGGACAGAGGAAAGTCCCAAAGGGGCTGCTCTCAGAGAGTGTTTGCCTGATCCTGAGGGGCAGGGTATACCACTGGAGGTGGCAAGAGGCTCTCCCTGAGCAGACCAGTCAATGCTGAGCCAGGGGCAGGCCCAGGGGGAGCACACGCCATGCTGGAGGACCCATAGGTGACTCAGGCTGATCGTTAACCACAAACAGTCCTCAGCGCCCATGCCTGCCTGACTCTAGCACAAAAGTTAGTGATGCCTCAGGGTGGCTGTTTGGAGGAAGAAGGCAGCAGGGGGAGAAAGGGGAGGATGAGAGTGTGGCCTCAGAGAGGAAGATGCTCCAGGCCTCTGCCCTACCCACTGGGGGTGCTCTGAGGAGGCTCAAGGTACTAGAGATGTGCACACTGAGGCAGGCATATTGGCCCCATTCTTCCTTCATTACAGGTCACCTCCCTTCCTCATGGGCACACTCACTCACTCACACACACACAGGCAAAGGCATACACATGGGTTTGGACGCATGCATATTTACACATACTTACATGTGCAATCATGTACATGTGTGCACACACTATGCACACAGGCGTGTCTACATAGATGCATTCTCATACACACATCTAACGCATGTGCATACACCCATAGAGACACAGAGGCAGGCCGTGCACACCCATGAACACCCATGTGTGCACACGCACGTGCGCGCACACACACACACACACACACACACAGACAGCCAGTCAGTCCTTACTTCACCTTTAGTGCCTGGGAAGGAAAGACAAGGGGATGGCGTGGACTGGTGGGGTGGAACTACCTCCCAGAGGCTGGGGTGCCCGAGGTCCCTGGGTCTCCCCCTCTCACCGTCAGTCTTTTGGAGGCATCAACTTCAATCATGCCCCGCAGCAGGTTCTGACAGTCTGGCGGGATGAAGTGTGGCATGTGGAACACCCCTCGCTTCACCTTCTCCAGGAGCTGCCGAAGGTTGTCATCGTCGAAAGGCAAAGCCCCCTGCACAGCCAGGCCACCGCGGCAGAGGGGGAGGAGGAAGGAAAAGGCCACGTGAAGGGAAGGGGGAGGGGAGGAGGAAGGAAAAGGCCACGTGAGGGGAAGGGGGAGGGGAGGAGGAAGGAAAAGGCTGTGTGAAGGGGGCATAGCCTCCCCCACAAGAGATTCCTTCCCTTCCCACTCCATGGATGAATGGGTACACTGGGCAGAAAAGTCCATGTATGCAAGACTCATATGGAAGCCCATGCCTGTGTGCCTCTCCCTGCCTGGCTGGTTCTTCAGGTCTGCTAGGAAGGGAGAGAAGGAGGGAGGGAGGGGTCTGGTGTCTTGGCTGAGGATCAAGGATGGAGGATATCCAGCTATCCCAGAAGGAGGGGTCCAGGAAGGGTCAGGAGCAGCCAGAAGGGGCCAAGAGATACAGCTGGACTCTGGGTGGGGCCAGACAAGCAGTAAAGGACTACTTTGTCCTTAACCCCTTGGCTAGCCTGGAACTAAAAACGGCAGCACCACGGACAGCTGCTCACTAGAGCTGTCTGTCAGATCTTGTGGATTCCTACAGTCCCTTGGGAAGAGGATACCAAGCCTGGCATATGTGGCCCAGGGGGCGGATGGATACTTACCACCAACAAGGCGAATAGAATGACCCCACAGCTCCATACATCTGCTTTCCTGCCATCGTATTTCTCACCCTGGGAGACAATGCAGAACTGGGGTTCAAGGTTGGCCAAAAGTTGGCATCTACTTGACCAAAGAGGCAGCCCCAGACTTGGTGGCTACTGGCCAGGAGTGTGCTGGGCATTTTCCAGTGCAAGACTGGCTAAGTCTGGAAGGCCATACAGTGGACCACCCCCCTCCCCCTCGGGGCCAGAGAGAGGGGAGCTGGATCTGGGGTGCTTATGGTGGGTGAGGAGGGGTCAGGTACACTTACCCGGATCACCTCGGGGCAGGCATAATGAGGTGACCTGGATGCAAAAGAGACAATGTCAGGTCACCAGGGACAGGCCTCATGCATTCTGGCTCTCCTCCCTCCCTGGGGGTAAAGGAGCTCTCTCCAGGCTTTACTGCCCCTAGAAACATACATTTACTACCCTGGTAGAGCCCCCGAAGCCATACGAGGCCTGGCCCCAACTACTGCTCCCCAAACACCAGAACAGGGTTCTCCAAGATAGAGGCTGTGGGTTCCAAAGGGTGAAGAAGGTAGGGCCAGGGGACTAGGTTTCCTCTTGGCTTCCAGGCATAGGAGAAAAAAGATGGGGAAAATGCAGAGACACTTCAGGAGTACTTGCTGTGGGCAAATGGGTGGACGTGGCCGAGGCCAATGTAGGTGGCTTCCATTCTTTAATGGAAAGTTATGGGCACCTCTAGGCTCCTTTCCTGCATGAAGCTATCATCTGCCTAGGAGACCAGGGAGGCAGAGGGAAAGGCAGGCAGGAAGGGGAGGGAGGTGGCCCCTCACCTGCAGCTAACAGTTCCCTTTCAGCTAATGCATTATTTGGCAAGCTGTGGAAGGAGCAGTCCTGGTACTACTGTCCACAATTAGAGATGGGAAAACTAAGGCAGCTCAGAGAGAGGAGGGACGAGGGCAAACACATGATGAAGAGCATGGGATCTGAGAGCAGAGCTTCCGACTCTCACACATGCTGCCCACAGAGCCATGGCCCATATTTTCCACAGGGTGGACAGGCCTCCTCCGTGGTACAGGTGGCTCAGGGAAAGCCTTCTAAGATTCCTGCTCATGTGCTACAGAAGATGCAGTCCAGACTTTCAGGGCCCCCAGGACTGAGAGGCAGACCCAGCCCAGCCTTGTCTCAGACCCATTTGAGGAGGAGACATGGATGTGGCCTGGGAGAGCTCTGGCTTTTGGAAGAGCCGGCCCTCATTTCTCCCACTATGAGGCCCTGGGAATTAAGAGTCCTGAGGACTTCCCCATAATGGAGGCCCAGGGCCCTACCCTCAGCTGCCACAGTTTTCAGGGGGTGAGGGTCCAAAGCTCAGTGTGGCTGAGGTGGCTGGAGCCTAGGAGAGACAGAGGAGGTTCAGATCTCTCTCTCCTGCAGTGAGGCAGCAACCACCAGACATGTCTCTTGGAGAAGGGCCGTGCCTCGCCATGGCTACTGAAGTGGCCCCTAAAGAAGGGTCTGAGACCCCCTCAGATGAGGGGGGGGGCAGATAGGTCTCCTTTATCCTTCCCTGACCCACGGTGGACATAGTGATGATTGGTTACTCTGTGTTTGTGTGTGCGTGTGCATGTGCGTGTGTGCATGTGTGTACGTGTGTGTATGCACATGTGCACATGTGTGTGCTCATGCACGTGCACTGCATGCACGTGTGCGCATGCATGTGCATGTGCGGTGCGCGCATGCATGTGCACGGGTGCACGCATGCGTGTGAGCGCACATGTGTGCATTGTGTGTGTGCATGTGTGTGCACACGTGCATGCATGCACGCACATGTGCACACGTGTGTGGGGCCTTTTGAAACTTTCCCAGCTACAACTCTTGCCTGGAGCAGGAAGGCAGCTAGCTGCTCTGGCCAGTGGTTGTAGATGAAACTGGTTGCATGTCTGTAGGATTTAGGGAGCCCAGGGAGGAACCAAGAAGAGAAGGAAGCAGGACCACTGGATCTCTGAGCTGGAGGGGTCTCAGCCAAGACCTGAATTGGAACCCCCCCATAACACCCTTGACAAGGACTGCCACATGCCTCTTGGACATCTCAGAGTATATGTCCCATAGACATTTAAAACTCAGCATGTCCAAAAAAGGATCCTTCATCTCCCCCAGCCCAACCCTTCCATTTTCCTAGCTTCCCCTTTACTGTGGAGGGCACCACCATCCTCCAGGCTCCCCAGCCTCCTTATCCCACACATCCAAGCTGGTACTAAGCCTGGTGATTTCTCCTTCGATAGCATGTGAGCCCTTAGAGCAGGGACTTTTTTTGCTAAATCCCAGTGCTTTGTACATGGTAAACACTTAGTAAACACTTTATTCGTTCATAGCATCTCAGATGTAGACCTCCTTCTCTCCTCTGACCCTGCCCACACACTGGTGCATCACCTGGACCACTGCAGTAGCTGCTGGGGGTCAGGGTCTGCCTGCCTCAGTCTCTCGCTGCTCAGGTGCATCTTTCATTCAGCCACCAAAGTGATTTCCCTAAAGCTCAGGTATGGCGGAGTCATTCCCTTCCCCCTGCCCTGTGGCAGAGCCTTCTGAGCTTGTATTGGGCTCACGAGTCACAGAGGGACACATTGTATCCCGACGCCAACATGCTGATGTCATCTCGGTCTTCGAAGCACAGAGGACGACAGCCGTGACTCCAGAAATGCTGCCCCTTCCCAGATGGCTCCAGGAGCAGATACAGACCTCTCCATTGGGGCTCCGTGGCCCTTCATAGCCTCCCCCTTCTCACTTTTCCATTCCTTACTCCACCCTGCCCCCCCCAGTACTCTACTCTGGACTCTGCCGTTCCTCGCTCTCTTGACTGGAGACACAGAGGAGCCTAGAACTCTCGCTCATCTTCCCCGCCCCCATCAAAGCCCACCTAAGCTCCACTTTCTAAAAGAAGCCTTGGGGGCTGATGTTCCTAAAGCCCTTGCTCCCTGCCCGCTGCTTATTCCCCATTTTTCTTGCCTGGATCTTGTTGGTACATTAGTTGTATGCTTGTTATCTCTCCTGTTAGACTGTGAGCTCCTTGAGGGCAGGGACTGTGATTTTGCCCTTTGTTGTATCCCCAGAGCTTAGCACAGTACCTGGCATACAGTAAGTGCTTAATAAATGCTTGTTGATTTGACTTATCTGAAGACTTCTCATAGAGGGGAGGGCCAATACCCCCTGGAGAGCGCTGATTGCTGGGAAGTTTTTCCTGACATTAATGAGCTGTCTCCCTGCACGTACCCCATCTTCTATGCTCCTGGCTCTGCTCTCGAGGGCCAAGCAGAATAAACTGAATCCTCCTCCCCAGCACGTCCCATCAAATGCTGAGGGCAGCCATTGCCACTTCTCCCCATGCCCATGCCACTCTTCTCCAGGCCAAACATCACAATCCTTCATCCCCCCTTCCCATGCAAAGGACTTAGAGCCCTTTCCCTTCTTGGCGGACTTGGTGATCATCAGTCAATCGATGCCCTTTGTTGATTACGGCACCAGAACTGAACACACAACACTCCCAATGTTGTCTGAGGATGACCAAAGCCTTCTGCCCATCTGGGTGGAGCCTAACACTGCAGCCATTCTTTTGGTCTCTATGTTACATGGGAACTCATATCCAGCTCCCAGGCCACCAAGTCCCCCAGATCCCTTTCAGAGATTGCTATCTAGATATGCTTCCTCTGTCCTGTATGTCAGAAACCAACTTTCTGAATCCAAGAGGTGGCCTTCACATTTGTCCCTATTAAGTCTCATCCTCTTAGCCCAGTGATGTTACCTGTCTAGGCATTTTTGAACCCTGTCTCTGATGAGTTAGCCATCCCTCTCAGCTTGGTGTCGCCTGTAAATTTGGTGAGAATACAACATGGGCCTCTATCCAAGTCACAGATAAAAGTGCTAAATCCCACAGGACCATGCTCAGATCCCTGGAGACCTTCTCCCAAACTGACATCAAACAATGAAGGATTACTCCTTCAGGCCACTAAACTAGCCCAGAAGTCTTCTTATTGTGGTCTGCTCCATCTGGCTCCACTTTCCCCCCAAGAATCAAATGCAGTCTTTATCACGGGATCTGCTGACGTCGAGGTAAAGTCTAGTGACTACAGCTACTGCCCATCCCCCATCCACTAGTCTAGTCACCCTGTCCAGAGGAAATGAGGCTAGGCTAGCCCAGCCTGTCCTGCTCGCTGCTGTGATCCCTGCTCTCTCATCTCGTGTTAAGCCGACCCTCTCTAGGATCCCAGAATTTTGGGTGTCAGCAATCAAAGTCAAGTTCATTGGCCCGCACTTCCTATCCTGGTGCCTTTGTGAGGAATGCCAAGGAGGCGAGCCTTCACCTCTCCCTGTTAGAATCCTTGGCTTTTTCCAGGACTTGGTTTATGTGTTTCCTTTTCCAGGACCTTCCCCACCCAGTCACTTTGTGGCTTTCGTATATGTAGAGTTATCTCTTCCACATCATGGGGGCTTGGGGCATGGTGCCCTCACGATCTGGAAAATCTGTGAAATGTTTCCTTTCATACCAGAGAAGAAGTCTGAATTATTACGGTATTAAAAGATAAAATATGTTGACATTATACAACACTATACATCTATTTTGTGCATTTCTGAGTTTCTAAAGCTTTTCTGTGTCATCTGCAGCTTCTGTAGAAGTCCCCCTAAATTCCCATTGAGTTTCTTATGCGAACCCGCAGTATATCAAAATTGCCACGAGGAACGCCATGCTGTGGAAGGGGTGACCGTGCCTGTGCATGTCCAGGTTGCCTCCCCAATAGAAGGTGAACTTTTTGAGGGCAGGAGTCATCGTCTTTGTGTGCCCATTGCTTAACACAGCACCCGGTACACAGTAGGTGTTTAATAAATGCTTAGCGATTGACTGATTGGTCTCTGCAGAAGTCATTCTCTTCGCTCTTTGAGAACCAGGACAATCTTTGAAAGCAAGCTGGTTGATCTTGCTTTTAGTCTGGCTCTTCTCCCTTGGCAACCCCCTCCCCACCCTTCACACACACTGCACCAGAGCCTGGAAATCCTACAAGGGCCGGCGGTCTCCTTAGCAGCTACATTCAGCCCTGATGAAGTGTAACGGGGGCCCGCAGTACCAAGAACCGACCAGGAGGTGGCACCAGCACCCAGCAGACTAAGGCCAAGGCCGCCATGATGGGCAGGGGAAGACTCCTAGGCAGGACAGCCTGGCTGGGACTGGTCCCTGGGCTGCCACGCCTCGAGGGGAGCCCAAAACCCTGGTGTGGGCCTGGGTAGGGCGCAGCTCTGGGGGCCCGCACCACTCACCCGCAGCTGGTTTCTAATAAGCTGTCCCCAACCTGCAGTGACGCCATCCCGAAATCGGCTATTCTGATGTTGTTCCTTTCGTCCAGCAGAAGGTTTTCGGGTTTCAGGTCCCTGTGGCTGAGGAGAAGGAGAGTGGATGGACCCCTGGGCCCAGCTGGGGGGACTCTGGAAGCCTCACCCCAGCTCAGAGCCCCACAGAGGAGACTAAGGCAAAGGAGCTTGGCTCAGCCTGAACCAGGGCTGGTGCCAGACAAGGCAAGCCAGGCTCCTAAGAGCCTAGACATGGAGCTGGAGGGACCTTGGAGACTGATGAGGCCAACCCCTGCTTTTACAGGCGAGGAAACCAAGGCACAGAAAAATGAAGGGATTTGCCGAGGATTACACAGCTAGTAAGTGTTCTAGGTAGGAACTGAACCCAGGTCTTCCTGACTCTAAGGCCAGTACTCTAAATTGGAACAAGTGGAAGGAAGGAAGGAAGGAGGAGGAAGGCTGAGGAAAGGAAGAGAAGGGGAACAGAGGCCTGGGGCTGGGGAGGCACCCAGGGAGTTATCTCAGGCCCTTTGTGTGAGAAGACCTTCTGCGCAGGTGACCCGGCATCTTGGGCTTGGCAGAAGCCTTCCTGGCCTCCTCTCCCAGACTCTGAGCACAAGAGGATGCACAAGCCAGCCAAAGAAGCTGAGTGGTCCGGCCAGGAGGCACCTCATCTCCCCAGGCCTGGGCACTCTGCAGAGCAGGGCAGGGGAAGCCTGGGCATTTGATCCTGGGGCCAGGATGAGTGTACCAGACCCCAGAGACTCTGCTGATCAAGGCAGGCTGCTCCCTTTCTCCACCATCCCCATCCCCATCTTCAATCTCAGTGAGGGCTGACAGCTGCTGTCCCAGGGTCTGTCAGCTTAGCAGAGTCTGAGTATAGCTCTTTTGTCCTAGGGACATGCTTGCTGAAAGTGGTGAGTTTATCGGATTCCTGCCTTCTACCCCAGAACCCCCCAGGGCCCACTCCCCACCATACAGAGACACAGAGAACACACACAGATGGGGGCCAATGGCAGCCCAGACTGGTGATGTCACAGCCAGCCAATCAGAAGTCTCCTGGCTGGCCAGGGGCTGCTTCTTTCCCTTAGAGCAGCCAGTCTTCTCTGACTGAGCGGGGTGGGGGTCTTGGGAGCTCCCCTATAATCCCTGACAAGAAGCTTTCTACTTCCTCTTCTCAGGTCAGGCCTTGTCCTCCTGGGAAAGACTGGAGCAGCCAGTTCTGCTTACTAGGGCCAGCCTCCCCGCCACTACCCATTGGCTGGTCTGCTCCAGACAACTGCAACCCCCACCCCCAATTGCCAATGGCTTTGGAGAATGTCCTCCAGACAAACCAGGCTTGGGGCCAGACTAGCTTGTACCGGCTCCCTGGACGCAGACCTGCTCGCAGCACCCCTTGGGTGAGTGAGAGGGGGACAGATTGGTCCAGGCTGCGCTGCATCAGAGAATGGAGATGGTATGGCACAGTGTCTCCAGAGAGACCCAATCTAGGAAGCTCTGGAAGGTATGACAGAGCCTTCTTAAGTGGCCCAGGCTGGAAGCCTTGAGCTCCAGAAGTGGGCAGCCTTTCCAGGGGGGAGAAAATTGGAGACCAATGGAAGCCATTGTCCCACATCCCTGGGCCTGAGAGGCCTGGGCTAGAAGGAAAGGCCAAGAAGACTGCCAGCCAATGGCACCTAGAGAAAGAGGCTGGGAGAAGACTGGGAGGAGGGAGATGACAGGTGAGAGCAGGGGCAGGGACAGGGGCCGAGACAGAGGCAGAGACAGGAGAGATTGGGGGAGAAGAGGAGCAGGAGTCAGCATCCCTGGAGCCCACCCTCCCACCCCACTCACCATATTGAGTGGCTGTGGCAGAAGTCAAGAGCAGAGATGATTTGTCGGAAGAACTTGCGGGCTTCCTTGGGCGTCAGCCTCCCCTTCTTCACAAGATAGTCGAAGAGCTCACCACCTGATACATGTTCTAGCACCAAGTATCTTGTGGGGAAGATGCCAGGTCTGATTAGCCCCTGCCCCCCCCCCCCCACTGCCCCCCCCTCCGGGCCCCTAGATCCCCCCTGGACTTAGTCTCCTTCCCCTCATCTCCTTTTCCACCAGGCTGCAAGACTTGGGCTCTCAAACAGTGCCTGGGATGGGTACCTGCCCCACTAGGATGCCTGACCCTCACCCTGTGGGTCTGTGTGGTGCCAGGAGTCTAGGCCCAGCCAGTCTTTCGGTCTCTGCTCCCACAGAGTTGGCAGCAGCAGGGCTCTGAGCTGTGCCTAGGATGCTCCCCTTCTCCTCTAGGAGGATGCCTGACATCCCAGCCCTGAGACCCAGAGGGTCACTGCCTTGCCAACTTCCCTGGGCTCCTCCCAGGAGCTCAGAGGAAAGCAGGATGAGGAAGGCTGGACATCTTCCCCCTGCCTTTCCAGGGCTTCTGCTGTGCCCTTCCTTCTTCTTCACCTTGGCAGCCTAACACCAGGTCACTTCTTTAGCCTTTGGCCAGAAGCTCCCAAGGAGAGGGGCAGCGTCAGTCCTAGGCAGCAGGGATAGGGTCCTGGCCTGCCTCTCCTCAGCCCAAAAGGAGGGGTAACCTCAGCAGGATCTGAAGTCATGCCCCAGCTCACTGCAGAGGGTACAGGCTGTCCTCAGACTCCCTTCCCAGGCTTCTCCTGCTGCTTGGGATTACCTGAGACCCAGGGTCAGAACCAGCCCCGAACTCAACCCCTGCTTGTCTGGGACTCTAGGAATTCTGCCCACATCTGGGCAGATGGGAGGCTTGAAAGGGATGGGGCAAAGTGTGGGTCCCAGGGAGAGTATATGGTGCCATTGACAGTTGGCTCTCCACCTTACTTTGGCGCCTGGGACTCCAGGCCTCGGGCCTTCCCCTTTCCTTCCCCTGGCCCTGACACCCCAAAGGGCCAGCTCTGGGTCATTCTCTGATGGCTTGGTAGCCTGCCTTCTCTATGGATCAGAAAACCCCAAGCAGCCCCTGAGGCCCAGCTGATCCATTATTCAAGAGCGCTGTCAATTCAGAGGCTGGCCATGAATTTTTAAAACTGTATTTGGCTGGACGCCAAGAGCCTCGTCCATTGTGTGGCCCTGGGGTGATCTGGGGACCTTCCCCCTCTGACTGAGGGGCTGGTAGCCCAGCTCTGCTCTCTGCCAGCTGCCCAGGTGGATGGAAGGGCCAGTAACAGGAGGCATTGGTTCCTTGGGTCCTGAGAGCTTTCCTATTGGGTGTTGCCAGGGCCTGGTCTCAGGGGCAAGGGCACCCTCTTCCCCATCCCGCCTTGCCTCAGGGGCCAGGGGCCATGATGGATAAGGCAGGAAGCAGAGCTCAGGAGAAGCAAGCTCTGGGAGCTCTCCATGGTTCTCTTTCCTAAGGTTCCCATGTCTCTCTACATCTCTCAGAGCTTGCTCAGAGGGAATGGGAAGCTCTGACTGAGAGTGCTGGGCAGCAACACCTAGATCAAGCAGTTGTAGCGAGGGTCCTGGGACGTAGCTCTAGGCACCGTGGGGATGGCTAAGGACCTATGCTAAGGATATTTCTTCTCTACCTCCCCCAGGTTAATGGAACCAGGGAGGTGTCACATCCAGCTCTGCTGAGGAGTACGAGCCACCTGGGATATCTAGCCAAGAGTGCCTAGCTGAGAGAGGTTTCTTTTCATGGAGATCCAGGCTGGCTACCAAATAGGAAAGAGACTGGGGGGAACTCTAGAGGTTCCCTATCTTGGGCAGGGAGGGTAACCTGGGCACTGGAAGCTCCAGAAAATACTAGAAGCCAGTGGAGTCCAGGATAATGTTCTCATTGTCCAGGATTCATCAACTGTCCAGGCCACTGCAAGGCTGGCCTTTGAGCACAAAGTGGAATGTTGGCACTGGGGAGACTTGGAGGTGCTAAACCAGCCTCCTTCTCTCTTTCTTCCCCTTCTCCCCTCCTCTCTCCTTCCTTCCCTCCCTCCCTCCCTCCCTTCCTTCCTTCCTCTTTCCTTCCTTCCTTCCCCCTTCCTTCCTTCCTTCCCTCCCTCCCATCCTCCTTCCCTCCCTCCCTCCCTCCTTCCTTTCCTCCCTCCCTCCCTTTCTTCCCTGCCCCATCCCCTAGTCCAGCATGAACATGAACCAGCACGGCCAGGGGCATGGGAGGATTCTTTAGGGGCTGTGGGGCAGCTGAGGGCAGTTGGACAGACCTTGGGAAACAGACCCTGCTGGGGGAGAGAGATAAGGGCAGAGAAGCTTTCAAGGGCTCTGGCAGATAGTGTATTACTTGGGGCATGAGGGCTTTGCTCTATAACGACAGCATCAGCCTGGACTAGCAAGTTTCCTAGGAACCCTCTCTTCTCACAGATCCTGAACCCTGTAGCCTGACCACAGCCCTCATCCCTGACTGTCCTTGCAGCCTTCTGGGGCCTGGCACCCCCTCTCCCCTTCTCTCCTGCTTGACTCCTGCCCTACTCCTTCCAGATTTCCCAGGTTAGCCAGAGGCAGGAAGAACTCCTGGACAATAATCACCAGTCATCAGTGGGGGAACTGGGCTCTCCATCTAGCCCAATCTGGGACCTGAGGAAGCAGAGGAGGGGAGGCCCAGGCTTGTTTCACCACTCCTCCAGCCCCCAGCCTTCAGGCCATGCTTGGGGGCCTGTGTCTCACACCAACAAAGTGGGACACAGTCTTGATGTGGCTGTCAAGGAAAGGCTGCACCCATGGGCCAAATGAGTGCCAGTGGCACAGCCTGAAGGTTCTAGCTCAGCCCCCACACTCGCAGCAGACAACCCTGGGAATGTATGCACCCACTGAGGCAGGCAAAAGAAGGGAATGGAGTGCCTCATGTCACAGGGAGTGAGGAAGAGGGAGCGCCCCGATCCTAACTGAGTCCTTGTTCTCCCATGCAAGGCTCTCTGCCCTCAGTGACATTCTTGGCTGCAGTCTGAGCCCCCAGCTCTTTCCTTTCTCTCGAGCTTTTTGGGGGCCAAAAGCCCTGTAGGAGAGGTGGGCTGGGGCTGGCTATCTAGCCTACCTACTTCCCCAGTCTTGAGGCACGGCAGCCTCCCTTTCGATACCAAAGCATCCCCAAAGTTCCCTGGTCCCTGGGAGCCTGCAATCACCACCCAAGGATGGATGTACTCTCACCCCCATATAAATCAGGCCCCCTGAAGGAGGGGAATGACAGCTTAGTTCCTGCCTGGAGGAGGCCTCACATTTTACCCCTCGGAGAGGTTCAGCCCAGAGGTCAGGCAGGCCTTACTGCTGACAAACAGAATGAGACTCAAGGGGTGAGGGTGGAGGTGAGGGTCTTTCCAGGTATCCTCTTGGGCATGAGTTCTACAGTTCACAGCTCTGGAGACCCAGTGGCCTACCATGAACTTCTGGGGGGGTCACTTGGGGGACCAAGGGCCTATCTGCCCTGGAGCAGCTTCTGAGCAGACCCACGTGACCTGGGGAGTAGAGCAGGGCAGAGCAGGAGGAAGCGATCCATCCCATCCATGCCTTCCCCAAAGGCAATGGGCAGGTGGAGCTCCCTGCACACCCCACTCTCTGCCCAGAGACCTCCATCCTCAATGGAGAGGTGACCTTTCACCTATGGCCTGGCCCTGTCCAGCCCCACCCAGCCCCACCCAGCTCCTCCTGCCCCAGCTCCTGGACCCAGTAATACCTACAAATATTTTTTATTTTCATAAACGTCGTGCAGCTTTAAAACATGTGGGTGTTCTATGAGCTTCAGGATGGCGATCTCCCGCTCCACCTGGACGAAGGAAACAAGAAGAGGTGGGGAAGCCTGTTAGTATATCACACTAGCAGCCTCTTCCCTCCAGAGCACACTTAGAGAGTCCTCATGGCCAAACCCCTGCACTGCTCCCACCTGGGCCCATTCATTTACCCATTCATTCACCCATTCATTCATTCATTTCCTCCCTCTCTCCCTTGCTTCCTCTCTTCTTCCTTCTCTTCCCTTCTCTCCCTCTTCCTTCCATCCTTCCTTCCTTCCTTCCTTCCTTCCTTCCTTCCTTCCTTCCTTCCTTCCTTCCTTCCTTCCTTCCTTCCCTCCTTCCTTCCTTCCTTCTTTCCTTCTTTCTTTCTTTCCTTCTTTCCTTTCTTCCTCCCTCCCTTCCTTCTTTACTTCCTTCCCTCCCTCCCTCCTTCCCTCCCTTCCTTCTTTCCTTCCTTTCTTCCTCTTAGCACTGAGTGGAGATAAGGATGAGTGAGACCTATTGCTCCTTTAGAATGACTAGGGATCAGATGTGGCCACAGAATCACAATCTGAGGTGGAAGCTGCATAGAGCCATGAGGACAGTATGATGGAGGGGGCCACCATTCACCCCACAACCTTGGCTGTTGTACAAGTGAGCCTGCAGTCCTGCTTAGGCCCTTCACCCACTTCACCATACCTGGTCTTATCCCATTAAGAATCTGGAGATGGAAGGGATCTGAGGGACTGCCTGGTCCAACTTCCTCTTTTTGCAAAGGAGCAAGCAAACTTTCCTCCCAGAGAGGCCAAGATGATTTCCCAAATTCACAGAGCAAGTAAGTAACAGGGCTGAGATTTGAATTATCCCTTGACTCTAATTCCCATGTCGTGGACACATTCTGGCCCCAGATCTTAGATGGACCCACAGCCTCTGTCATAAGAGAAACTGAGGCAGCCTTCTAGCCAACACGATTTGGGGTCAAGAGGAAACCAGGAGTCAAGCTAGATGATACATCGGTCAGATGCCCCAGGCCTCGGCTAAAGAGGAGGATCATGCAAAGGGAGATGAGGTGGTCCTCTCCTCCTCTGCCCCACCAGGGCCCTCATTTTGCCCCATCACAGAGAGATGGTGGCTAATGGAGAAGGAGACCAGACAAGGAATGGAGCCAGGGAGTACATCACCTCCAGGGATAGCCTCTTCCACTATGGGACAATCCAAATTGTTAGAGGACTTGTCCAGATATCAAGCTTAAATTGGCCTCTTGGTAACTTCCCCATTGCTACTGGTCCTAGCCCTTGGGCTAAGCAGAGAGAGGCTAGTTCCCCTTTGACAGCCTTCCGACACTTGACCATAACTCTTATGGCTTCCCCTCCCAGGCTGAACATCCAAAGTTTCCTCAATGGGCGCTTATATATCCTGATTTCCAGTTCTTCCACCCCCTGGAAACTTCCCAGCTCATTGCTGTCTTTCCTAAACTGTACAGGCAGAGTTTGAACAAGGCTGAGGATAGAAGGACTCTTCCTGGCACTGAATAGATGCATGATGCACACTCCAAGTGCCAGCGGGCAGACTGCTGGTGGGGAGGGATAGGGCAGAGCATGGCAAATGAGGCACCTATGGGAACCTCTGACATTTGAGGGCATGAAGCCAGCCCTACCCACCATTCAAGGCCTTTCCAATTAGGTAAGAGCCCTGTTCGGCAGCAGAGCTTGAGGGGCTGGGGAAGATGACAAGTTCTCCACCCTTCTCTAACAGCAGTCATGTGCCACCACTTTCCTTTCTCTCCAGGCTGTTCCCTTGATTTCAGTGGCCCAACCACTTAGGGTCCTCTCTACACCTTCTCCCTGAACTTCCCTTGGAGCACTAGCCTGTCTGCCAAAGTTTTATTAGGAGAACAAAAACTTAGCAACTGTTATCTTGAAGGTAAACAGACTAAACTCTCCCATAAAAGAGAAAATGTTGGGATAGGGTTTAAAAGAGAGAGCCCAACAATTTGGGGCATCCAAGAAACACACTTAAAGCATAAATACACATGCAGTGCCAATGTGAGGATCCTACACAGGGGAGGTAAAGCTCTTGGCCAGTCAGAGAAAAGGTCAAGGGGATCCCAGGTGGAGAAATGGGCCAAGTTCTCAGTTCATTGTTTCCAAGGAAAGCTCCATGTGACATTGGGCCACAGCTCCAGAAGCCAAGGTCAAACAGACTCAGTCATTTGAGGAGAGCTTCACCTGTACCCTCCCCTGTGAGGAAGCCCAGGCCCTGGAGAGGTGTGCAGCTCGGGCTCCGGGCAGCCATAACTCCTTCTTCAGGGTGTTCTCCTTCCTAGCACTGGCTGAAGCTGGATTTCTCCAGGGCTGGTGAACGAGGAGCTGTCTTTACACAGTGCTTTGATCTTCATGTGGGAGAACAGGTGTTTCTGAAGGGTTCCCTCTAGCTCCATGGTTTTTTTCCCCAGGTGCCAGGGGGTGATATAGCCTGCAGCAGGCCCTTCCAGGGGTGCAGGCTGTCCAGAGGCTGGTGGAAGTGGGGCTGCCTTCCTAGCATGCAGACAGCTGCTGGCTTGGAAGGGCAGGCACTCTCACCCTTGGCCTGGAGGTCATGGGATTTCTTGCACAAAGGCTCTGAAGAAGTGGTCTGGAGACAGTCCATGCCAGCCTCTAAATGGGTTCAGAACCTTTGATTGAAGTTGGCCCAGTGGGGAGGGAAATAGGAGCCGCTCCAACCTCAGGCCCAGTGCCTGACTCAAGCTAACTCTATTTGGCCTTGGCTGGCCAGTTGGGCTGCAAATGAAGACTTGTCTGAGATCTGGAAGACTTCAGGGATCCCCCCACCCACCCACTTGTGGCCATGCAGCCCCTCTCTGGCTCACTGTTGCCCCCTGGGTATATTAGATGTTTGGTTGCTGTCATAGACCTCCAGGAGACCACCTGGGCAAGGGGAGGTCAGCTTGGAAAACCTAGAGGAGGGGGCCATGCAGGGGGTGGGCAGTGGCCCTCTGGGGCCTCAGTTTCCTGCTTTGCAAGTGAGAATAATAATCCCTGCAACCCTTTCCCCCCTTCACCACCTCCAGAAGGCTATTGCTGAGAAGGGTCCTAGAAGCAACTGGAGCTGCTGTTCTGATCTGGGTGCTGGGTTTGGGTCATCTTTGCTCTCCAGATGAGCTGAGCCCTGGAGGCAGCCTGAGACACCCACTCTAGGGAAGGGGTATGGCAGGGCAGGGGTGGCAGGCAGAACATCACCTAAATGGGAGAGAGACCTCCAGGGTCAGGTGGGGGGGGCAGAACCAGAGGACCAGAAACACAGGGAAAGAATGCTTGGGGGGCATCACAAGTGTCCCCTTCCCCCCTCCCCAGCTGACATCCTGGATTCAGCTAGATTTCAAGGCAGAGGAGGAGGCTGGGATGGGGTGTGGGCTGCTAGCCCAGGGTAGGTCTTAGGTATCTTCCTCTGAAAGGGCCCTGCATGCTGCAGCCAGGACACAGCTATCCTCCATCGCTTCTTGGAAGGGAGCTCTGTCTCAGGCTGGGCCTTCTGAACAGTGGTGGATGGGAAACTGGTGGTCTGGACCCCCGGCAGCTGCCTCCTCCCATGGAGGGGCCAGCTGAGCTGCTGCGCCCTGACGCATACTTGCTTTCCCTTTCCAAAAATAAGCTTCTGTGAGGCAGAAATGATCCTGGGGGTGGGGGAAGGGACACTGTTGGTAAGAAAGTAGGCCAGTCCCATGGAATGCGCACCAGAGGAGGCAGTCTGCAGGTTGTGGGAGCAGAGCCCTGGCATAAGGCAGAGTGGGCACCCTGCTCGGCTCGGCTGGTCACAGGCCTGCCTCCCCTGCATGCCTGCGAAGGCCCTGGGGCCCCTCTGCCACACTGCTCCCCAGCCCCAGCCCACCCCTAACCTTCCTCTGCTGGCCCAGGGTGGACATAACAGCAGAAGGTTCTAGGGGCTAGAGAGGGTACTAGTGAACTCAGGCCTGGAAGAGAGCCGTCCAACCTCTGGCGACATGGCTCACCACCCTTGTCTCCTACCAGCCATGGACACAGCACCCTGTCTAACTGCAGCCCCAGCCCCATTGACCAGGGGCATCCCAGAAGCAGTTAGCCTCCTCCTTGACCAGGACCAAGGCAGCAGCTTCCTGGGGTGTTGACCCCAGTGGACAAGGAAGGAGGAACTGGGATGAACTCTCAAGATGACCTTTCTTCATAGGCCAGTTTTTCCCCTCCCCCATGGCCACTCCCCAAGGGAAGGCTGTGTCAACTCCTCACTGGCCTCCCTACCTGATCTGCCCCTCCCCAGTCTGGATAGTTGGCTTATCTCCTAAGACATAAGTGTGACCATGTCTCTCTCCCACTCAAAAATCTTCATGGGCTCCCACTGTCCTCTCCGTTCCCTACCTGAAGTTCTTCTTCAACACTGTCTTGAGTCCCCTACTCTTTTCTCTCTCAGTGACCTTATCAACTCCTGAGTTTAAACTGCCATTTATGCATCTATGCAGATAGATGTATGTCAGTTCAGTCATTTTCTGTCATGTCTGACTCTCTATGACCCCATTTGGGGCTTTCTTGGCAAAGATACTGGAGTGGTTTGCCGTTTCCTTCTCCAGCTCATTTTACAGATGAGGAAAGTGAGGCAAACAGGGTGAAGTGACTTGCCCAGGGTCACACAGCTAGTAAGTGTCTGAGGCTGGATTTGAACTCAGGCCCTGTGCTCTGTGCACTATGGTGCCCCCTAACTTCCCCTCCATCTATATATCTGGTCCTAACCCTCTCCTGCATCTAGTCCTATGTCACCAACTGCCTTATCAGAACTTTCCAACAGGATGTCCTGTGGGCATCCTGAATTCACCATATTTAAAATGGAAATCCCTGTCATGTCCCCCCTCTTCTGAATTCCCTGTAGCTCTAGAGGGCACTACCTCCCCCAGGCTCCCACATCTGCTCACAACCTCAGGGTCCTCCCTGGCCCCTCACAATCAGTCATCAGATTGTGCTGTTTTTACTTCACGAAGTCTCTCTTATTTAGCCCCTTCGCTCTGCTCATGTAGCCACCTCTTGGCTCA